TGGGGCTAGGAGGCCCCAGGTCTGGGGTGGCCCCGTGGGCTGTGTGGGACCCCAGTTGTGGTGTTGCCCCATGGGTTGTGTGGGGTGCTGGGCTCAGGGTGACCCCATGGGCTACGTGGGGGTGCAGGGCAGCCCCACAGGCTGTGTCCTGAGCTGGCAGTGGGGCTGCAGAGCCCTGGGCTTGGGGGTCTCCTCTGGGCTCTGTGGGGCTGTGAGGCTCCCCAGGGCTGAGGGCTGCTGGCTTTGGGGCCATCCTGTGGGTTTGGGGGGGCTGCAAGGCCCTGGACAGGGGGTGGCCCTGGAGATTGAAGGGTTTGGAACTGCCCCGAGAGCTGTGGGGGGCACTGGAGCCCCTTGGCAAGGCCAGCCAGGGTCAGCTGGTCCTGTGCTCCTGCCATGGGGTGCAGGGGGCTCTGCTGGCACCCCTTGTGTGAAATTCCTGAATTTGGGTCACAACAACCCCCTGCAACACTCCAGGCTGGGCAGAGGGGCTGGAAACTAACTGGGGGAAAAGGATTTGGGGGGGGGTGTGTGGTTGTTGCCCGACAGCCATCTGGAGATGAGCCAGAGTGTGACCAGGTGGCCAAGAAGCCACCAGCATCCTGGCCTGGATCAGCACCAGTGTGGCCAGCAGGAGCAGGGCAGGGATTGTCCCCCTGGACTCACCACGGGGGCGGCCACACCTCAAATCCTGGGTTTGGTTTTGGGCCCCTCACTCCCAGAAGGACCTTGAGGGGCTGGAGCGTGGCCAGAGAAGGGCAATGAGGCTGCTGGGGAAGGGTCTAGAGCCCAAGTGTGGGGAGGAGCAGCTGAGGGAGCTGGGGGTGCTGAGCCTGGAGCAAAGGAGGCTCAGGGGAGCCCTTCTGGCTCTGCACAGCTCCGGGCAGGAGCCTGGAGCCAGGGGGGGGTCGGGCTCTGCGCCCAAGGGACAAGGGACAGGACAAGAGGAAAGGGCCTCAAGTTGCCCCAGGGGAGGTTGAGGTTGCCCCTGAGGAACAATTTCTTGCCCTGGAGGGTTGATGGGCTCAAAGGTCTCCTCAACCCAAAGGGTTTGATGGCTCTGTGAGAAGGGCTGGGTCCCCCGTCGCAGCCATTTGGGAGGGTGTGAGTGGAGCAGTTGGACTGGAGGGATTAGAGATCTTTGTTTGGCTCTTTGCTAATCTCTCATCTCTTAACTCTCTGGCTGCTAAAGGTTAAAAGTGGAACTGGTTGTGGACCCTGGGCAGAGGTGGGAGGCAGCAAATT